CAATAGCCCCATATGGCCAGTGCGAAAGTCTAATGGCGAGTGGAGACTAACAGTGGACTATCGTGGCCTGAACGAAGTCACGCCACCACTGAGTGCTGCAGTGCCGGACATGCTGGAACTTCAGTATGAACTTGAATCGAGGGCAGCCAAGTGGTACGCCACAATTGATATCGCTAATGCATTTTTCTCCATCCCTCTAGCAGCAGAGTGCAGGCCACAATTTGCCTTCACTTGGAGGGGAGTTCAATATACTTGGAATAGGCTGCCCCAGGGGTGGAAACACAGCCCTACCATTTGCCATGGGCTGATCCAGTCTGCGCTAGAGCAGGGGGAAGCTCCTGAACACCTGCAGTACATCGATGACATTATTGTGTGGGGTGACACAGCAGAGGAAGTTTTCGAGAAAGGGAAGAAAATAGTCCAAATCCTTCTGAAAGCCGGTTTTGCCATAAAACAGAATAAAGTCAAAGGACCTGCACGAGAGATCCAGTTTTTAGGAATAAAATGGCAAGATGGACGTCGTCAAATCCCAATGGATGTGATCAACAAAATAACAGCTATGTCTCCACCAACTAACAAAAAAGAAACACAGACTTTCCTAGGTGTTGTGGGGTTTTGGAGAATGCACATCCCAAATTACAGTCTGATTGTAAACCCGCTCTACCAAGTAACCCGTAAGAAGAATGAGTTTGAATGGGGCCCTGAACAACGACAAGCCTTTGAACAAATCAAGCAGGAAATAGTCCATGCAGTAGCCCTTGGGCCAGTTCGAACAGGACCAGATGTAAAGAATGTGCTCTACACTGCAGCCGGGGAGAACGGCCCCACCTGGAGCCTCTGGCAGAAAGAACCTGGGGAAACTCGAGGTCGGCCCCTGGGGTTTTGGAGTCGGGGATACAGAGGATCTGAGGCCCGCTATACTCCAACTGAAAAGGAGATATTGGCAGCATATGAAGGAGTTCGATCTGCTTCGGAGGTGGTCGGTACTGAAGCGCAACTCCTCCTAGCACCCCGATTGCCAGTACTAGGCTGGATGTTCAAGGGAAGGGTCCCCTCTACGCATCATGCAACTGATGCTACATGGAGCAAGTGGGTTGCATTGATTACTCAGCGGGCTCGAATAGGAAACCCCAGTCGCCCAGGAATATTGGAAGTGATCATGGACTGGCCAGAAGGCAAATACTTTGGGATATCATCAGAGGAGGAGGTGGGTCGTGCTGAAGAAGCCCCACTGTACAACCAGTTGCCAGAGAATGAAAAGAAATATGCCCTGTTCACTGATGGGTCCTGTCGTATTGTGGGGAAGCATCGGAGATGGAAGGCTGCTGTATGGAGTCCTACGCGACGAGTTGCAGAAGCTGCTGAGGGAGAAGGTGAATCGAGTCAGTTTGCAGAAGTGAAAGCCATTCAGCTGGCTTTAGACATTGCTGAACGAGAAAAATGGCCAGTTCTCTATCTCTACACCGATTCATGGATGGTAGCAAATGCCCTGTGGGGATGGTTACAGCAATGGAAGCAAAACAACTGGCAGCGTAGGGGCAAACCCATCTGGGCTGCTGCATTGTGGCAAGATATTGCTGCTCGGGTAGAGAACCTGGCTGTGAAAGTACGCCACGTAGATGCTCATGTGCCCAAAATCGGGCTACTGAAGAACATCAAAACAACCAGCAGGTGGATCAGGCTGCTAAGATTGAAGTAGCTCAGGTGGACTTGGATTGGCAGCATAAAGGTGAATTATTTATAGCCCGATGGGCCCATGACACCTCAGGCCATCAAGGTAGAGATGCAACATACAGATGGGCTCGTGATCGAGGGGTGGACTTGACCATGGATGCTATAGCACAGGTTATTCATGACTGTGAAACATGTGCTGCAATCAAGCAAGCCAAACGGTCAAAGCCTCTTTGGTATGGAGGACGATGGCTGAAATATAAATATGGAGAGGCCTGGCAGATTGATTACATCACACTCCCTCAAACTCGCAATGGCAAGCGCCACGTACTTACAATGGTGGAAGCAACCACCGGATGGCTGGAAACATATCCTGTGCCTCATGCCACCGCCCGGAACACCATCCTGGGCCTTGAAAAGCAAGTCCTATGGCGACATGGCACCCCAGAAAGAATAGAATCAGACAATGGGACTCACTTCCGAAACAACCTTATAGACACTTGGGCCAAAGAACATGGTATTGAATGGGTGTATCACATCCCCTATCATGCACCAGCCTCCGGGAAAGTTGAACGATACAATGGCCTGTTAAAGACTACCTTGAAAGCAATGGGCGCTGGGACGTTCAAAAACTGGGATACGCATTTAGCAAAGGCCACTTGGTTAGTCAATACTAGGGGATCTACCAACCGAGCTGGACCTGCCCAATCAAACCTGTTACGTACTGTAGATGGGGATAAAGTTCCTGTAGTGCATGTAAAAAATATGCTGGGTAAAACAGTCTGGGCTACTCCTGCCTCAGGAAAAGGCAAACCTATTCGTGGAATTGTTTTCGCTCAGGGACCTGGATACACTTGGTGGGTGATGCAAAAGAACGGAGAGGTCCGGTGTGTACCTCAAGGAGATTTAATACTGGGTGAGAATAGCCCATGAACTGAATTGTACCATGTTAAATAGTATATTATACTGTATGTTATCACTACCATGATTACTATAGGTGACTAATTAGAATGTATGGAAAAGAGTGTAACCTGAGCATGACATAAATGGTATGGAATAAGGGGTGGATAGATGTCCTGGTTTCAGTTAGCACAGAATTAATTTTCTTCCTAGTAGCTGGTGGAATGCTGTGTTTTGGCTTAGGATGAGAAGAGTGCTGATAACACCCCGATGCTTTAATTGTTGCAGAGCAGTGCTTATACTAAGCCAAGGACATCTCAGCCTTTTGCTCTGTCCTGCCAACGGGCAGGCTGGGGGTGCAGTAAGAGCTGGGAGGGGACAGACCCAGGACAGGTGACCCAAACTAGCCAAAGGGGTATTCCATACCATCTGACGTCATGCTAAACAATATATAGGGGTGGCTAGCTGGGGGGAAGGGGCCGGACTGCTCGGGGTTAGGCTGGGCATCGGTCAGCGAGTGGTGAGCAATTGCATTGTGCATCACTTGTTTGTACATACTATTATTACTTTCCTATTATCATCATTGTATTATTATTGTTATTATTTTTATTATTATTTTGTTATTATTATTTTCCTGTCTTATTAAACTGTCTTTATCTCAACTCACGGGCTTCACTTTCCATTTCTCTCCCCCGTCCCGGAGAGGGAGGGGGGAGGGTGAGCGAACGGCTGCGTGGTGTTTAGCTGCCGGCCGGGTTAAACCACAACACTGGGACAGAACCCTGGTAGCAAACAAGGGAAAAGAGTGTTTCTGTGTCCCAGGAGTTTCACACAACTGCTCCTTTGAATCCCTCAGAACTAGCTAGATCAGGAATTGAATGGGGCGGCATTACCGTGGAATAACTCGGGTGGCTCTGTGTTCATGTTGTCTGTGTGTGTTTTTTGTGTGTCCTTTAAGGAGGAGAAGGCCTTTATGTTAGTGGTGGGCATCCTGTTTTGGTTTGAGTGGTCCAGGCTATTCTGGTTTTGTTAGTGGGTTGGACCTTTTGCCCAGAGATTTTTTTAAATTATTTTTTACATCTTTGGCAGGTTAGGTTGACAAAGAAATCAGTACTGTTTGAGGAACTGTTTGCACTAACAGGAAAAAGGGGAGGAAGAGACCGTGTTCGGACACTGGGCGTAGTGCTCAGTTGTAATGCTGAGTTTTCAGAGTATTGTGCATGTGTTTTCTTTTTTATGTAATATGGTATAAACAAGCTGTACAGCAAAGCAGGCATTTTTTGGAAGTGACAGAACTAATGATAAAGTTTAAAGTATCTATGATACACATTTTATTTTTCTGTGGGACTCTTTGGCCATCTTTGTTCCTGTACTTAGTGTTTGCTGTAGTGTTTCACACTTTGGGGTAGAAGGGAGCTGTGTAAAGGTTGTTTCATTCCATTAGGTCGTGGGTTTTCTGCATTTTCTTCCAAAACAGTGTTTGCAGGAAAAAATTGTATGGTATGTGTTACCCTAGTCCTCAAACGTCGATTGCAGTGACATTGATTCAGGGTGGAGGGACCTTGGAGGTCTGAGGCCCCTCTCAGACCAGAGCCTGCTTAGATCAGGACCCCAGGGCCCTCATCCACCTGAGTTTTGAATGCCTTCTAGGTTGGAGGTTCTACCTCACTTTTGGGAACATGAAGCAGTTTCTGTCTGCTGTCTTCATATTGTAAATCCAAACACCTCAGAGACCTTGTAACATCTTTACCACCCTGCTGTTTCTGCACGGAAATCACTGTGAAGAAGGGATTCCTTCAGCTTCAATTCAGGTGTTGTCCTAGCATCGGGGTGCCTCTTTGCTAGACTTGCTGTGGTGTGCCAGTGTCTGTATTGTAAACACAAGTTAGTGTTATGCTCTGTTATGATTTAGGGTTGTCATACTTCAGGGCATTATAAGAGGGCTCTTTTCGACCATAATTTTAACCCTTTTTTGCTGTCACCGACCTTTTGCATCTGAAAATAGCGTGGGTAGGAGAAATCTTACAATGAGACTTTAAAACTCCGGCAGTTTTGGCTTCAATTTCAAAACCATGTAAAAAAATATTTTAGATAGGTCTTATTTATACCTCAGATGGTTCGTGCTATTTCAAAAGCTCATACTTAGCAGTATTTTATTAGTGCAGGCTTCCAGCCAGAGGAATGTGAGATGCTTGTATGAGTAGAAGTAATGAAAGAAAACATGAAAACTCATTCCTGCACTTAAATTTTACCATTGTTTTCAGTTCTGAGGTGATGCTAGCTGAAAAGCTTAAAAGGGACTGCAGTTGGGCAGAAATTTGAAAGCAATATCTTGATGACTTTTACAGACCCTGTGTAAAATCTCCTGTGCCTCATTGTGGTGTTATCCACTCTTGTAACTTGTCTCCTCTTTTGCTTCTGTAGGAATATGAAGAAAAAACTGGTCGAGCTCACAGACCACTCTCTCCTAAGCAGAATGTGAGGAAGAATCTTGATTTTGAACCACTCTCCACTACAGCACTTATTTTAGAGGACAGACCAGCGTAAGTTTTGGGAAGCACCTCAGTGAGGGTCCCTTTAAAATGAGGCTAGCAAAGCTTTTCTTACTGTATTTGATCACTTTAATTCAAACAAGTGATTTTAATTTTAAAAACATTTTTTTTTTTCAGGCTAGTGTATGTGCAAGTGGAGTAATTATGAGGAAAATTATTCAAACAAAAGTAGTGTTATTTATAGTAAAAGCTGTGCCATTTAGTGGAAGATGATAATTAGGAGAGCAGAGCTTTAGTTTTGAGTAATTCTAGCTTCCCAACATGAGTAAGGGATTTTTCTTTTCCCTGAGAGAACATAAAGATAAAAATGAAGCTGGTATATGCTAAAGAAATTTAGAAGCAAGGATATGGTGTCCTGTCTGCACAGAGAAAGACCAAACCCGCATAAATAATGAAAGAATATAATGATTGTTCTGCAGTGGGATCAGCATCATGTTATAAAGGTTGTCAAGTACCTGAGAAGTTGTTTGCTGCTGTTACTGCAAAGAGATTCTTGTCTTTGCAGACCAAACCCCAGAAGATTAGTTTACCATGGTTTACTAAATTTCACAAGTTCAGTCATATTTAGACAATTCATGAACGATACACATTTTTCCAGACACATTGTCTGCATTTTTAACATTGCTGTGCATTGCCAGTTCTTTGTACCAATTTTTGCTTTCATCAACAAATGTGTATGAAGAATGCTCATATCAAACTAGTTTAGTGTAGGGTCATTTAAGACACTTATGGCTGGTAGGCTACATGCCAAGACTTCTTGGAACATTTAGATCAACCTAAGTGATTATTTGTTATAGCAGGTTTTCTTGTGTACAGCTGGAAACAATATGTACTAGCTTACTTGTTTTATTTAAAACCTGTCTCTTGAAATCATTCTCTATGTGCGATGCTTTCAGACATACAGTATTCAGCTAGACTGAATTAATGCTACGTGACAGGACAGCATTCAGATTCTGTGTTTTTTCCCTAGTGTTGTTAAGCTGAGGAGCTTCTAGCAAAAAAGTTTTAAAAGATTCTAGACAGTTGAATCATCGTTCTTTTGTCTAGTGGGGGAAACTGTTCTGAGCAATAGTCATGTCCTCTAATGAATCTGTCTAAAAAAAAAAAAAATCTCTATGAATTGTTTGCTTAGTTTATGTTTTTTTTATTTTTTTTCAAACCTGTTAGGATTTAAGTAATTTATTGTTGATCTTCTGCAACAAAAGAAAATTTAAGATTTCCAAAAGAAATGCAGCGAGATATTTTGCAAAATGGCTGCTCCTGGTTTCCTACTCACCTGTAGGGTTTAGGTAAAACTTCCAGGGAAAAATCGGTTAATATTATATGGTCTCTCTAGCTTTAACTGGAAAAGGTTACATCTTAACAGATACATCATCTCACATATATGACGATGTCATTAAGAAATGGAGAATATATGGAATGACTCCAGCTCCGCTTACTGCTGTACAAGTGAGGGCAAGGAGCTAAACCTTCCGGAAAAGAAATGGGGTCTCTGAGATCGGGGAGGAAAAGGAAGCTGGTGTGGCAAGTGATTACTGCATGAGTAAAGAAAATTATGGATGTAGTTCTTAAGCAAGGTACTCAGTGAGTGAATAAAATTTTCTGCTTTTATCTGTAGAGATCAGTTTAAAAATAAAACCACCAGCTTGATACGACTGTTTTCCCTTTATTTATGAAGATTAGTCTGTGGGTACAGTTGGTTTAATAATAAAAATGCTGAAATTACCAAACAAAAGGAAATTAGTCAGCATATTTTGTGTATAAAAGGAGTCAGTCATAGCTGGTCAGTGTTCTTTCCTTTTCTTCTGCTGACTCTGGCAAAAAAGATCTTTCCAAGAATCTGTTGGACTACTTTTTGATCAAATATTTTGACATGAGGCAGCATTATGCTTTCTATTAGAAGTGTCTAGAATTGTCTTTAGACAGGCATGCCAACTTTAAACACTGTTTTTTTATTAATTTAAGGAACCTCCCAGCAAAACCAGCAGAAGAAGCTCAGAAACACAGACAACAGTACGAAGAAATGGTGGTTCAAGCAAAAAAAAGAGGTGATGGAATTTCTTGTCTTCAGAGGAGAGCATTGAAGTTGAGGGGTTTTTCTAAACCTGAAATACACTTGTGTCAGTCAGGTTTTCTGTTAAATGAGAGGTTGGCACCTCCCTTTAAAAGAAAATCAATCCAGGGAAGAGGGAAGGATAAAAGTAGTTTCATCAAAAAGCCCCTCCTTCATCTGAAAAACATTCCAAGAACCTACCAGGAAAGAATTATTTTTTTTAAGAATTTCTAACTGACATAATTGCGTAGCATCTGTCTTTAGGTTTAAAAAAATACTAATATATTGAATTAGCCTATCAGTCAAATTAAGAGTAGATTTTTTTAGAGAACTAAAAATCTTTGATAGTTTTGTGTCAGGAACAGTTTGTTGAGGCTGTAGTATGTAATTACATACATTTTGCAGATAGGAAATGTCATTATTTTATTTGATAATCCATCTCCCACTTCAAAATTTACAACTTTGCTAAGGTTCTTATCTGTCATTGTTTACAGAAGTGTCTAAGTAACACTGTACTGGGCACATCAGGTGGAACCGACAGTAGTGGTTTCCCTGCAGTGTTTTTGACCATCTGAGTTTTCTAATAAAACCAAGCATTGCAATAATGGGAAATTTGAACTCATGGAAGTTGTGTGTCCAGGGAGAGCTTCTGAAATAACTTTTTTTGCAGCCGGCCAAACCCCTGAGCCATATGAAACAGTGGAAGGATGATAGGAACTTAAAACTTACTTGCTTTCTGCAGTTGACATTTTAATAAAATAGGCCATTTGAACATCATAGATCTACCAGGGAAATTCATCCTCCTCTGTTGTGTGACTCCCATGTCAGTATATCCATATAATGGTTAGTAGCCCAAGGGAGATTATCTGTTCTTTTGTTGCATATATGATAGTTGGTTTGGAAAAAAAAAATGGGGGTAATGCTCAGGTTAGGCATTGGGCAAGCCTCTGTGCTGTCTTTACTGGATGGGAGTACGTCATTCTGCCCATATAAATACCCAGTAAAACATTTTCCCTACAGCCACTCCTCAGATGAACAACTTGCAGAGTGATGTGTTGTGTAGAGGTCAGCAAATCAAAGTGTGGATGGAAGTGTTGTTCTCATACAGAGAAAAATGCAAACCCCCATTCAGACAGACTTAAAAAGAGCTGGTATCAAAGCTGAATGTATTAGGAGACGGTTAGCATGGTCCAGGCACGGCTTCTGTTGGCTTTAAAGTGGACCCATCGGGTTGTATGTGTTTTTTCCAAAGACCTTGGTACATGGTGTTCTTCTGTTAGTTTTCCTTGCCGCGTCAGTACTTTCCCATATTGTTGATGGTGTGTGCGCATGCACACATTCTGTATTTCCACTGTGATGCTATAAAGAGCGCCTGCCTGCATTTGTTAAATTGCTTGTCTAACAAATTTGCTTGTGGGAAAAAAACAGTAACTGATGATTCAGGAAGAAATACTGAATGGGAATTGAAAATACAAAATGCGTTTAAACTGAACATGAAAAATGTACGGTCTTATTCTGAAAGTTTCCAGTATGTAGATCTGTGATGTAGGACACCAAGATAAACCATACGTTAAAGTTTTAGAATCAGAACAGTCTGCTGTAAATTTGTGTGTATGTAAGGTGATTGGACATGGCAATGTAGTCCCATGTAGCTAACTCTGAATTATTTGTTCCTGGCTTATTAAATTGAAAAGGAAATTGTTTTCCGCAGAGCTTAAAGAAGCCCAGAAGAGAAAGAAACAACTGGAGGAGCGCTGTAAGCTGGAGGAACAGCATAGGCAATGCTGTTTTTAACTTGGAACAATGAAATCTTGCCCAACTGGGAAACTATGTAAGACAGTATGTTATACTGAGTTTTAATTAAAGCTGTCAAGTCTGTGTCGTGGAAAGAAGTTGTATAGTTGTAAACAGAGTTGGAAGCATTTGTTTGAAAGTCACCTTTGGGCAGCTACAAAGAAAATGAACAACATCAGCTGCCTTATTTTGATAAGGTGGCTAAAAGAGTTTGCAGTTCTAATTAATTGCCATTACTCGTCTTTAATGGAGGTTGAGAGTATTCAGAAACTGACACACTGAGAAGTGGTCTGTGGTAGAAAATGTAAGAGTAGGAAGTGTAATGCTTGAACACCATGCATTTATCAGAAATGAGCTTTCCGAGCTTGATGTTTCAGTATCAGATGTAGATTGAAGTATGTGTACGTATTATTAAGCCTCTAATTAGTGGCATACCTACAGAGATAATCAAGTGATGGAAAAGAAGAGTAGTGAAAAGTAACTGAAAAAAAATTAATTACTGAAAGATTTTCTACTAAGATGCAGCACATGCAATTGGAAAGTTACCTTCACTCCCCAGGTTTTTCATGGATTTTGCTATTTTGCTAGTCATTTCAAAAAAAAAAAAAAAAAAAAAAAAAGACAAAAGCAACAACACCCCCCCCATCCCACATGAGAAAAACCAACCTAACAACTAAAACTCCGTGTCTTTTATAACTGCAGTTTGCTTGATCGTGGGATTCAGTTGTCCTGAGAACGTGTTAAAAGTATTGATGGAAATCGTTGAAAATTCAATTGAACTGAAACAGTAGATTCCCTGTAAGGAAACTGTAGATTAAAAGCCCATCTATTTGCTGTTTTGAAGATGCTTGTTTTTATTGGTAAAACTAAGTACGCCTTTTCCTGTTACCAGTTTACAAATACAGAAGTTACCCAGTGTATTCCACATTTTATATTTTAATTCAGAGTCTGCATTTAGGTAAAAGGGTTACTCTGTTCTTTGTCACTCCCAGAAACTTTCATTGGTGCTTCAGTGATACCCTTTTCCTCTTTTGACCTTCTCAAATTGGAAAATGTCAGCCCTAGCCTGTGTTCTGCTAAAATGCCTCTCATGCTCCCTCCTACTGTTGCATCTTGTTATGTTTTGCTGGTGGGTCAAAGCTGCACAGCCAGATAGAAAACTGCACGTCTCATTTGCACAAGGGGGGTGATGAGTGAGGGGAGAGGATAGACCTCTGTAGCTTGTTTCTGTATTTACTTTTTACATGGAGCTTTAGGCCTCTCCAGACTTAAGGGTGTGCAGTGGCAGAGGTGTGGATCTCTTTTTCGCTCATTTCTGTCCCTTCCGATTCTGGCTTGATCGTGTTGGTGGCAGATTGCAGTTACTGTGACTGTAGTGCTCCTGTCAAAATAAGCCATTGACTTGGAAGGAACGAAGCTTTTCTTTACAGTTCAAAGCAAAATAGTCCTAAAGAATCGATACACGAGGATCTTGTTTGACTTTTTGGCCCACTGATGTTCATTTTGGTCTGTATTCCTTCAGCCATGCTAGGAGGACACACTGATGATTCATCTGACAATGAAATATTTCTTAGAAGTATACATTTTCTTCTAAACAGGTGTTGTTCCCGTAAAGTTCGAGAGTTGTGGTGGCAGGGCATTCCACCGAGCGTGAGAGGCAAAGTCTGGAGCTTGGCAATTGGCAACGAGTTAAACATCACCCATGGTGAGACTGTTGTTTTGACCACTTTGTGCTGTCAAGGGAAATAACAAGGGGATAGTCTTGTATTTACTGTGAGGTATCAGAACGTGATTTCTGAGCATGAGGTATTAGTTAATTAGGTTTTATTGGTGGTGCTTTTACATGGTTTTTTTTTTCAAAAATACTGTATCATTTAATCTCCTAGTTGTCATAGGGCTGCTGCTGTGAATTGCTTATGATTGTTACCATCTCTGTGTCTTGCTTTGATGTTAGGTGGAGATGGTTGGAATTAATGACTCAAGATTTTTTTTTCCTAATTTAGGATTGCTGTTCATTTTGTAATGGCTATGACTATGCATTCTCTTGAATTAGATCAAGATGTTAGGCTTGTGTGAGATTAAAAAACCTCTGGGAAAATCCGTGCTTTTGTTCATGTGTATGTTTGTGAAAACAAGTACCGTGCTGCTTTGGACTACGGGGAAAACAGGTCTGAAAGAGCAATTAATTCCATTTGCTTCCAATTAATTATAATATGGAAATGCTGTGGACTGCCTGTCCTCTTGCTGTATCGTGCTGCTTTCTGTGTTTGTTTTGGTTACCATAGCTTTAGTTCTTGCATTGAATTTGCTAGGCTTATCCTAGTTATCCATTCAGACTGTAACTTTGAATGTCAGAGCTCTGTAAGTACTTGAACACAGAACGTAATTGGTGCCTAGATTGCCTTTACTTTTCTACTGGCTTGTAAATTACAGGTCAGTGGAACAAGTCTTTCAGAACCATAATCTACTTAAAATTCAATTAGTGTGTTAGAGGTACTGCTGGTTGTAATGACTGGAGCAACGTTGCTCGTATGGTTACATATGGTACTGTGGTTAGAACCCAACAGTGGGCATGTGTGTATGCAAATAGCAGCTTTGGTTTTCTGCTTTTCTTTTTCCAGAACTGTATGATATTTGCCTGGCTCGTGCCAAAGAGAAATGGCGATCACTTAGCACAGGAGGGCTGAAGTAGAATGTGAAGGTATGTTTTTTGTGAATAATTTATGCTGTGTTACAAAATACAAGACTTGGTAAAATTGTTCCATAAATAACAGATTTTAAACAACAAATAAATTCATCTATAAAGATGAGTCTGGAAAAAAAAACAACAAAAAACAACAGAAAGCTTTTTGTGGAAGCAAAATGAGCTGTATTCTTAATACATCAAACTTGTTCATTTTTCTTTAAAAACTATTTCCAGATACAGTTCTGGTATTACAGATATTAATTTGTAGGAAAACTAGGAAGTTTGGGGGACTATAAATTGGATTGCAACACTAAATGTTTTGCTGCATCTGCAGTTTTGGAATTGAAACTCAAATAGCAGTGGAAAGTTACAATTTGGTCCCGTAGTGCATATTGGAGTCTGTCTCCTGGGCATGTTTCAGAGAGCAGCAATTTATTTTTGCACATGAAGTGGTTTGAGATTTACTAATTGATTAAAAGAGTTGTATTTTTTGAGTGAGTGTTAAACTGTAAATGTAGATGCTTGAATTTGCCTTTGGTGAGTAATTACACTCTGAGCAGAAAAAGGAGAACTGGTATTATCAACAGAAAAAAAAATGTTTTTAATTGGAAACCCCCTGCTTTGTATCTCTTGAGATTTGGTTTCCTGCATCTTAAGTGCAACAACATCTAGTACATTTCCAGCTTTATCTTGCACTTTATTTTCTGGGATGTATATCCTCATTGTTATCCTGATTGTTATATGCTAATACTATTTGCAAGAAACAATTCTTTGTTTTTTTGATTCCTCATTGTGTAGCAGTAGGTAGCTCTTTAACATATTTTAACCAGGACAGCCAAAGTAGAAATGAAACTTTTGGATCTCTAATGCTTTAGAAATTTACTTTGTGTGAGATCCATTTCAGTTAGAGTGTATTGTGGTGACATTAACTTTAACAACACATACGAAGAGTAAATAAACGTGGTTTTGGAAAGAGAGCTGATAGTAATAAAGTTAGCTGACATCCATCCTGTAGATCCCTGTAGATCTTCTCCTGCCCATCATGACCTACCCACAGAGGCATCTACTTCAGGAAGCATTAGGAAGCCTCGTTGAAGGCTAAGGGTCATAGGTCAACAGGCTTGCATATGTCTTTTGATATGTCAAAGGATACAAGGGACATCCCTGGCATGTCTTGCCTTGTCTCTTTCTCTTTTCCCTCCTTGCTTTATAATATGGTGTGGGGGGAGAATAGCGTGCAGTGACCTATGTAATAAATGCTGTAATTTTGGCTTTTGTAGATGCTGGATTTTCTGCAGCTGACAGAGAAGCAAGTTTGGAGTTAATAAAACTGGATATCTCAAGACGTTTCCTAATCTCTGTATATTCCAGCAGGTAAGTAATGTTAACTTTTATCATGAATACTCAGAGAAATTAAGTTTACAAAATCTTGTTCGTTCCTGGGTTGAAACAGCGCTCTGTGATCAAATCTGAAGGAGCAGACCTCGTGAGAGAACAAGTTCCTAGAGCTTTGGAAGTTTAGAAAAGGCTAACTCTAAGGTACTCATTGGGAGGAAGGAAAAAGCAATCTGCTGGCTTATCATTATGTCTTGATTCATCTAATTAAGTTCACACTGGTTTCTGTCTAGGTGATACAGGCTAGTATTTCCTAGTCAGTGAACCAACACTGTTAGGTTGCAAATAAATGGTGAGAGAACACAGCTCAAGCAAGCAAAATTTGGTCACCCTTTTTTTGGTGTTGTTCCATGAAAGGCCAATGTAATTTGTGTGTTTTTGGTGTGCTTTAATTACTCATTTTAAGCAAATATTTTGTCTTTCTATACACAAATTTCAGCATGCTTATTAAAAAATGTAGGTTTTGATGAATCAGCATTCTTGGGTAGAAAACTTCTCCCTTTGGAAATTCTCAGCCAGTTATCATACTCTGTGTAAGATATGGCAGCTGTTAATAGTCTACAACATAAAATTCTTTCTGGCTATAGATGTCATGCTGGATACGATCTGTGTGTGTATGTTAGAGCATGTTGTTGTTTTAACCATTCTCTTCATGATTGCATTCTGCCTCTAGTCTAATAGACAATGAAGTAGTTCTCATTAGTGATCTGCCTTCTTGGCACAATTGTCAAAAAGCTGCTAAGCTATACTGAATCTCTTAGGCTTACATGTCTCTTGTACAAGAATATAATGCGTAACTGATGGATTGAATGAACTGTATGCATCTGTAATGTAAAGCTAAAGATTTTTTTGAAGGAGATGGGGGTGTTCAGAGCTCTAGAGGGAAACAATGCATCTTTAATTGAAAGTAATAGATACTGTCTGTAGCACTGAAGGGTCTTGAACATGTTTGTTACATACTTAGACATATTGTCTTGTTTTTGTTTAATTACAGGGGGGTCCTTACCATGACACGTTGCACAGTATTTTAGGAGCCTATACTTGTTACAGACCTGATGTAGGCTATGTAAGTGAATCATTTTTTCATGTGGGGTGGGGAGGGAGAACAAGGAGGAGGGAAGAGTGTGTTAATCAGCTGTAGACCAGCATTAAATTATTTTGTGAATAATTATGGGGTTTCTGTGTGCTTATATGCCAATAGATGCTTGGGAGGTGTGTGTCATATATAATGGTTCTGCTGCTAAATTTAAACTTTTTAATAGGTTAAGTCATTGGAAAGCTCAAAAGTACATATCTTTAGTGCTTGAAAATTGGTGTTGAAAGAGAAGATGTAGTTAAATTGGTCCTTTGAAGTACACAGTGTTCTTAATGGCAGTGTTACTGAGGCTGTTCTGTTGAATTGTGTTTCTTACTCCTCTTGATAACGCGTTTCTGTGCCTTAGGGTTGTGAGCTTCTGGAGCTGTCTGTAAAGCAGCATCCATCACAGCCACACGAGCTTCCTCAAAGTATTCAAAGTAGTGATTATGAAAGGACCAAGTGGATTTCAGATACTTTATTTAGTCTGGGGGAGAAAAAAGCAAAACAACAACAACAGAAAACTACAGAGCAGGGATGTGTTTAAGAGCTCGTTTATTTGGGAGCTATTGTTTTATAGAAGGCAAATGTAGAAAAATACCATTCCTGTTCTGTGAGTAGCACTGGCTACTTGGCAACATCTGAACGTGACTGCCTGGAAACTAGAAGAAGAGCAGATGAGGTGGTGTGCTTCATTTGGCGTGGAACCTGTTGTTGTGTTAGGAAGGAGCTCGTTCCTCAGGTTTGCAGGAAGGACTGTCACACCTCGGTCCATGTGACCCGGTGATGGCAGCACTACACCCTTAGGGTGGGTGAGTTTTGCATCGGTTCTGTGCCAATTCCATAATAAGCTTGTGGAAAAATGTAACAATATCATGAGTTTATGGTAAATGAAACACACACTTAATTTAAAATGCTGCTGGTTGTCAAATGAGCCATTGCAGCTCTCCAGATCTACCAGGTTACTGATTGAAAAAGAAACATGGGTAGTCTCTAGTGTCCTAGTACAGCTTTTCAGAGATCAAGGCATATACGCCCCATTCCTATGAGAAGAGGGACCAGAAAAAAAAATCTTCATTCAGATCTTCAGAAAGAGTTTCATTCTGCATAGTTGAGAGTGATGTCATCCTGGCCTTTTTTAGGAATTTTACTTGGAGTCTCTGAAAGGAGGCATCGCGGGGATCATTAGCTTCCGTGCTCTCAGCATTCAGTACCAAGTGGTTATGCAGGTTAAAAATTCCTCCCTTTCTGAAAGTTTTGAAAATTCAATAGCTCAGCGAGTGTGTTAAACAGTTGTGATTGCAACGACAAAATGGGGCAGTGTTCTTGAAAAGAACACAGTTCTTGTTGAATTGTGGTGCTTTTTCTTTCTTCAGGTACAAGGCATGTCATTCATAGCAGCAGTATTGATCTTGAACTTGGATACTGCAGATGCCTTCATTGCTTTTTCTAACCTTTTAAATAAACCCTGTCAGATGGCGTTTTTCCGTGTGGACCATGGCCTTGTAAGTATGCAGTGAAACTGTAGTCTACATACTGTGGATATGTTAAAAAACAAAACAAAACAAAACATGAGCTCAGTAGCCTGAAAATGTCTGAATTTATTTTAAGGCAACATGCTTGATCATTTTTGTTTTTTAAATAGCAGAGGCACACATATACCCCCTCCTCAACAAACAAACAAACCAAACTGGAACTAAAAACTCGCCACCAAGCTTTTGAACAGGCAGGTGAATGAAGTTGTTCAACTGCTGAGTGTTTTATGATGCTTAGAGAATAGTCATGAGAATATTGTTTTAGGTGTTCTTGAATTTGAGCACTGTAGATGAAAGCTGAAAACAGCTTAATAGTCTTAACAGTGGTTTGAAGGTGCTTTTTATCCCAAACTAACACATTGCTTAAATAGGCTCCCAAAAGAGCTGGATTTCCCATCTCTTTACTCTGTAGCAGTTATGTTTTCAAGATGGCATGGGGGAAATCGGATGAGCAGACAACCCTGTCCTCCCCAATTTTTAGTGAAAGTTGGGTGCCTCATTCACACTCTGTTGTCTGAAATTCTTTGTTGGCATGTATACTGGGCTACTTATGTACCACAGCAAAGTAAGACTCATCTCCTGAAATACAATTTTAATTTATTTTTGAAGTGTTTTTCAAAAAAAATTATGCCATTCTGTATTTCCTTTTCACTTAGTCACCCATTAATGCTATAAAAATAGGGTCAGCTTTCTCAAGGGTTTAAAAGGGAGAAATAAAGCAGGGGAAGGGATAACATCAACAGTGATCACTTCAATTAGTTAAACAGTGGGACACTAGAGATCCTATTGTAATTTTCTGCTGGAAAAACACGTGTAATTCCTTGTTACAGTTTCTGGGTCTCATCAGTTGTAAATGCCTGTGGGAGATGTACAACAGCTCAGACAGCACTGCTACAAGCTGTATCAATCATCTCCATAACTACTGTTTGAAAAAGGAGGACATGCTCACCCATGCAGTGTGTAAATACAGATCTTTTGAAGCTGGTTTCAGAATTAAATTTTCTAGAATAAGATGTTTATTAGCTGTAATGGTGTTTCTAGTTTCCCCTTGGATAGTGCCCTTTGGTTTTGTTAGCTTAGACAAGCAGAGGCTACGTGATAGAAGCATGCTTGCAGAACAGGAGAGGTGGTGCTACATGAAGGAGTATTAACATGCTGTGAAATTGCAAAGCCATGATTCACACCCCGAGGAAAACTTTGTACCTAGTGATGAGACAAAGTGAGATGTTTTTGTCTTCCTGTGGTTAATCTTCAGATCTGTTGTGTATGCTGAACTTTTTTGTCACTTTTACAGCTTAATACTCAAATGCTAATTTGTCTTATATTGGTTTTACTTTTCTATTTTATTTAAGAGGTGCTTTTGGAAATCATAGAAATTTATTCTGATTTCACTTGATTTATTTTCTTGGTTAAATTTTTATTCCAACTGGATTTTTTTCATTACTACTAAGTAAATGTCTTATTGTATGTTGATTTGATCAAGATAAATACCTGAACCTTTACTGCATTTCTAATTGAGCTGCCTTCATTTCTATCAACAGATGTGATTGTGGCACTTATGTGTAAAAATCCCTGCTTTAATGTACTTCTGATATCCTTTAGTAGGACTTCTTTTACTGTGCTGTTGGCTTGTAAACAGAACATTTTGGAAGTAGGACTGTCTTGCATTACCTGCTTCCTTCTTTATGCTTATGAATCTCACACGGTGCTTGGACTTTGTGTATTTAAAAATACATATTGGGAAGTTTTCAGTTGTAGAGTTCTCTAAAGTGGGTTTCTAGGTTTCTATTTTCCTGTTTACTGTGAAACTTTTTCTGGCTAACAGGTGGTTTAGAGATTTTACCTAACTTTGTACAGCTATTTCTGTAGCCTGCCCAATCTCAGATTGGCTTGAGTCATTTTTTTTTATGTGCTGCTCTTAATGAAGGTAGTCTAGAATTTGTCACTACATTCAGATGAAACAGGAAAACATTTCTGTAAGGCTATCAAAAAACAGGTAAGCATCTGTCATCCGTCTAAAGGGTTTCACACAAAAGGCTTCTCTTTTACTGTCATGGTGTGTTGGGGAAAAGCATGCTGGTACAACTTGTACTTCAAAGATAACCACAACCATTCTTTATTGCATTCTTTATTTACAAGAGATTGTAATTAAAAATACTGAGTCATTCAAGGACTTTGTTAAACTTTTCTTCCTGCAATAGTAAGAGGATTAGGGTGGAAAAGTTAAAAAAGACTTTTGTTTTTAATTCTTAGTTGGATAGGAAAGTTTTTGGGTTTTTTTTGCATGCCCTCTTTTTCTATTTTATCCAAATACTCAAATATTAAAAATAACATTCCAGTTTTCATGCTAAAACCAGTACAGTTAAGGGGATAAGGTATCAGATGGGGGTTGGAGTCTGTTTCTCTTGCATAAGTGTTTTGTCCTGATCTTCAGCTTTTCTGTGTGAACTTTCTCTGTCTCTTTACAGTAAAAATAACTATTATCTCATTTTTAAAACGTGTTATACAATTGAAGCTTTGGTATTAGAATATGATTTATGATTGGAGCCAAATGGACTCATCACTCTTGCTATGGGCTATTAAATTATTTCAGTTTTGTATTTCATTTTGTAATCCATTGGGTCTTGGATGTTATTCAGTGTAACGTTAGGTTACTGCCACAAACATAAAGCACCATTCTGTTATCATAATTATTTTGAGTAATCAGCAAATAACTTCTCTCCTGATGCTATTTTTCTTTCCAAAGGAAGCTGGCCAAGATCCACAACAATAATGACACTGTTTAATGTGAGAACAAAATATAGAATGGATCTTAAACTGTGTGTTTGCAGATGCTGTCTGTTGCACAAATGTTTAGCTCTGTATTCCATCATGTAATTCACATGATTTTTCTTTTGAAGAACATGAATCCAACAGCAGATAATATATTGAAGTCTATTAATTATAGAGCTAACTGTTTTTTCTCCCCGTTGTTTTTGCAGATGTTGACTTACTTTGCTGCATTTGAGGTATTCTTTGAAGAAAATCTGCCAAAGCTATTTGCTCACTTCAAAAAAAATAACTTAACTCCAGATATCTATCTTATTGACTGGTAAGACATTGACAGTATAATTACTAATATGCATACCAGCTTATAGCTCCATGTCTTATTCTTGACATGAGCTGGCGTGGTTTGGGCTGTTGCAGTATTCTGTTGTTAAGATAAAAGCTTTAGCTTGTGTTCAGTAATTGAATTTGTCAATCCACATCATTCCCACAGATTTACAGAATCATAGAATCAGAGGATGGTTTGGGTTGGAAGGGACCTTAAAGCCCACCCAACTTCATCCCCCTGCCATGGGCAGGGACACCTCCCAGTGCTGTAAGTTGCAAAGAAAACAAGCACCTAAGCTTTTGGAAGGATCAGCTGTGACTCTTGGGCAGCATTCTACTTGTATGTTCAGTGGTCTCAGATCATCTTTAGAGGATCCCAGCACAGATTGGTTTTAATTACTACAGCTATTCCACTTAGTAGACAAGGAGTTACAATCTTTTTCTTTGGTGAAATTCCCCTTCTTTTTAGCTCTATTGTAATTACAGCCTTACAGACGAAAAAGACACAGGTCTTATTTGCAGACCTGTCAAATTTCATCGTGATATTAGGTACTCCAAATTGAGCATTTGCATTTGTGCCTATCAGGCTTGGGTTTGGAGGCAGCTAAAATGTCTCTTCTCAGCAAGCAATAGTTCGTTGTCAATTTCAGGAAGATAGGAAATCTTTTTTTGTGCAAACTGGCTTGCCTTTAAATTGTTGACAGCTTCTTCTGTTGTCAAGTGTTTGACTAAATACTTTCAGTAAAAGACAAAATTCCCAGTAGCAGCAGATTTTTTTTTTTTTTTTCTGAGATTGATAAGTTGATATTTCAGAGAACGTTTTTGACTGTTAATCCATTTCTATCGGAACCAAGCTCTCAATGTCCTTGTGATCTTTCAGAGCTTGTTGTTAGCACTGAACACGTTTCTGATCCATTGAACAGAAATCCCTTTGGAGTTGTTTTGTCTAGTCTCACAGCTTGAAGTTTCACTAGGTGAGCTTTCTCAGTATTGTAGAGTGCCTGAGATCACCTGGTCCAAACCCAGTGCTTAAAGCAACGTCAGCTATAGGAGGTTACTCAGGACCTTGGCTACTAGGGTTTTGAATATATTCAAGGATGGAGACTTGGGCAACCTGTTCCAGTGTTAACCACTGTCACAGTGAAGTTTTTCTTTTCTCATGTTTAAATAAAACTTCCTTGGTCTCAATTTGTGCCTATTGGCTCTTGCCCTTTAACAGGATATGACTGTGAAGAGACTGTCTCAGTCTTCTTTACTCCATCCTGTTGAATATTTGTACACCTTGCAAGCCATCTCTCTTCACGGCTGAACAGACCCAGCTCTCTCAGCCTCTCCCTGCGTATCAGATGCTCCAAGCCTTTAATGACACTTGTGGCAAGCTGGACTTGTGCCAGCGTGTCTGTGTCCCTTGTGCTAGGAAGCCCTGAGCTGGCCTCACCAGTGCTGACAAGAGAGGAGAGGTCACCTGCCTTGGCCTGCTGGCAGTGCTGTTCATGCTGCAGCCCCGGGGGTTGGCATTGTGTGTCCCCAAGGCACGTTACCAGCTCATGTTTAACTTCCTGTCCACCAGGATCTCCAGGTCCTTTTCTTCAAAGCTGCTTTGCAGCCTGTTGGCTTCACATGCATTCTTTTTTTTTTTTTCCTGCCCAGCTGCAGGATTTGGCGTTTCCCTTTGTCGAATTTCACAAAACTCATTTCTCATTTCATGAGACTCAGCTCATTTCTCTCATTTCTCCAGTGTGTTCCTCTAGAGCAGTGGATTAATCACTATTCCCAGTTTTGTACCACCTGCAAACTTGCTGAGCGTGGAGTCTGACCCATCATCTATGTCTGTAATTAAATTACTTGAAAGTATTGGCTGAGTATCAAACCCCGGAGTACTGTAGCAGTGTCCTGGCTTGAAATTTTAGTTTGTGCCACAGATTAATAACTTTCTGAGCTTGGCAGTTCAGCCAATTTTGAGTCCATCTCACTCTTCATTTACGTAGTCCGTACTTCATCAGTTCATCAGTCAGGATTTTATGGGAGACAGTGGTGAAAATCATGCTAGAATCAAGATGAACAGTATCCACTCCTCATCTACCAAGCCAGTCATCTCATCATAGAAGCCTGTCAGGTTTTTCAGGCAGTATTTTGCCTTCAGAAATCCATACTGACTTCTCCCAATCATCTTTTTGTCCTTGATAAGGTCTCCTAGTCCTCAGGAACCTCTCCAAGTCACCATGATCTTTTTAAGTATCATTGAGGGCAGCCACACAATGACACCAGACAGCTTCCTCAGCTCTCAGGGATTTCTCACCAGGGCCCATGTGTGTGCCCAGTTTGTTTAAGTGTTCCTAAACTGAACCCCCTCTGCCCAGGGTATGGTTTCCTTGCTCCAGACTTTCCCATTGGTCTGAAGGACCCGGGATTCCTGAAGGCAAGTCTTCTCAGTAGAGACTGAGGTGAAAGCAGCAGTGAGTAGCACAGCTTTCTGCATGTCCCACTTCACCAGCTTCCCTGTCCCGTTAGCAGCAGGCCTGCATTTTCCCTACTCTTTTTTCTGCTGATGCACCTGTACAGGGCCCTTCCAGTTGTCCTTAACAGCCATAGCCAGGTTTAACTCCAGCTGGGCTTTGGTCTTCCTAATCCCTTCTGTGCGTGCTCAGACAGTGTCTCTGTATTCCTCCAGCGACATCTTCCTCTCCTTACTCCTTTTGTATGCTTTTGTCAGGAGCTCCTTGTTCATCCATACAGGCTTCCTGCTGCATTTGAGTTCCTTTCATTTGCACATGCCTCTTGCACAGAGAGTACTGTTGCATGGGTTTTGTTTGACTTTGCTGTTACACTGGGATTACATTTTAATGCAACGTGAGTAGGGGAATGAGGGGGAGTGTGATGGATAGGCTCATTTCTCCCAGCATCTATAAATGCTATCAGAACGTTTTCTATGACTGAAGGCTGAGAATATAAACTGAACTGGATTTCTTTACTGCACAGCAGGAAAATGCCAGAAAAATGCTGGAATAGAAGGAAGGGAAGAGGGCAGGGGTTGGTATGACCAATGACAAGAGGAAAGACGTTGAAATGATATTAAACCTCAGGAATGAGGACTACTTCGAGTAGTCCTGTCCAATCCTATACTAAATTTCTGCACATTTGTCTTGAGCTAGTCAGCTTGTCCAGCCGTGTCTTTAGTCTTGTTAGGCAGTGGGGTTGGTGTTCATCTGTGTGAGATTTTGGTATGATATTTAAATACATACACATACACACATACATTTATACCTATAAATATGTCTGAATATATATCTATATACCCTATCCTTTGAAAATCCTTTGATCCCATAGGAAGCAGATTTAGATCTTTTTAATAGCTGCTGGAAATTAATGAGAATTGGAGTTTATCTCTGCTGTCCCTCCATTATAGTTAGTAGGGAACTAGCCAGGAAGTAATATAGGAAAGATGTAAGGGAAAATGGTCACTGTTTTTGCAAGCAAGTAACTATTAAAGCAAAGGACTTTTTAAAATTTCGTTTCTAATGTTGCCTGTGGCTCCTGAGTGACTGCTGGTTTGACAGGGAATTTGCTGTAATATTGGTACTACTCTGTGAAAAACAAAGCTGTTTGTGGAAAGAAAGAAATTTCAATTATGTTTCATTCGAGGAAGAATATGGGGAAGCCTTGCTTGTGCAACTCCACGCCCAGTGAATTCTCTCAGACAGACAGACCTCCTGGTTGTGGGTAAAAATCTCAGCGAAGCAGCCTTGCCCTGACAACATCACTTTTATTTAAATGCATGTTTGCTCTGAGCTCCAGAGGGACGCCTGCTGCTATTCCGGTGGCTGGCATGGTTACTGTGCAGGCATGTGTGCAGGAAATCTCAGCTGGTGCCAGCTCTGGGGGGACTCCAGTAGCCAGTGCCGCGCAGCCCAGTTGCTGGGAAACCTCCTGCAATTGCAGTGGGATCGCCTGGGCTCCTTTGTGCTCCTCCGCGTAGCCGGTGCTGCAGGGAACGGCGCTGAAATTGTTATGCCCAAATCATTTGTTGGAGGGATACATGCCAAGGAAAAAGCAACACTACGCAAGTGATGTAATGCTGCTTTGGGCTTTCTTGGGGCTGGCAGGGGATTTAGGGAGTGCAGCTCCCCTGCCAGTTCACTGCCTTCTGTGACAGCAGGACGTCAAGGGCGTAAGAATTTAATTAAAAGGTACAGCAGAATGATTATCAGCGACTACCTGCCACAAGTAAGGCATCTCTTTCAAAAAGGACCCACGTGCTTCAGGCTCAAATTCCAACTGCTGTTTCTCCTAGTCAAAATTCAAAAGCTAGACTTGCTTTTACTTTTTTTTTGAAGAATGTAAAGGGAATCGAGTGTGCAAGGGCTGTAAAGAGCAACGTGCAGTCAGGTTCACACAAAACAGAGAGAAAATAGTGTGTGAATAGCCTGGTTTTGGCCACTCAGCACTGTCAGCTGATAGACCACAGGCTCTTCTGAGCAGAGCAGAATGTGGCTTTACAAAGGACACACATGGTCTATTTATGGCTTGCTGCTAATATACAAATACCTCTTCATTCCCACTCAGAAAAATGATTTGGGCAATAATTACAGCCCAGGGCTTTTTTTGTACCGCTGGCTAACCCAGTGGTTCTTTAATATTGCATTGACTGTGATTGTGCTCTGCGAACACGAACTTTCTATTGACACCCTGTACTTGCTATGATAAAGGTCCCAGCCGTTTCGTTTGTGTGGATGTTTGTAGTGAGCACTTCCAGTGAAATATTTATAGGCTTGCTGTCTGTCACAACAGGAAAAACGTAATCTGTGTCATGCCAGTAACAGCTCACCCCCAAAAAGTGAGGCTCAAGATTGTGCTTTAAGTGCATGCTTCCTTTTCAAACTAAAAATGGATCAGAAGCCTCGAAAATTCTGTGCAAAGGTTTCTCGTGACATCCTAATTTCTTGATTTGGAGTTGTTACAGACTCCAAAAAATGAGTCTTCAGCAGAATTTACAGTGCACTGATCCTCATGTCACTGTGGGTTAGAGTGAAGTCAGGTGAAGCTCTGCATTGCCATGTAGCACACCTAGGCAAGAGAACAGGGCTTTTTGGGTGCTTCTGACTTGGTGAAATTGCCCAGAAACTAGCACAGTATTTGTACTGATGCATTTTAGAATGGAATAAAATTTATGAAGTTGCTCTGTTGCAGTCAGTTCAGTATGGTACGTAATGGTGACCTTTTCCTTACCCCTATAAGGGGCAAAGTAAATGCTTCTGCTTTCTTCAACTTCAGTAATTTTAAAATTGTACAAAATAAAGTTAACACTCTTACTCCAGTAACTCTAAAGGTGCTAATGAGAACAGTTCTCGTTATATAATAATAGATGCCTATAATGCCACTGTGCAGTGAAGGAATGCACCAACTCTTAGGAAGATGTAGTCTTTGCCTAGCAGATGTAGGTGAAAGAGATAAAAAGGTAACAGCTAAAAAGCAGTGTGCCAGGATAAAGCAGAGAGGATCCAAGAGTAAATGTAAAAGCTGAATTGGTTCAGCAGTTTCCACAAATGGGCTCAGAAGTTGAAGAAGTATTTTTGTGCTGTTAGAGATGAGCACAACAATGTGCAGGATGAGAATATATTGGATCTGGTTTTCACTGGTGGTGTTGTGCCTGAGTTGTCGATCCAAAATCTGGCACACCTGCCTTCAGCACTCTTGCTAACAGTATCTTACGAAGACTTTTTAATTAAAAAAAAGGGGGGAGAGGGGCTTAAAATAGAGGCTATGATGATCATGGTAACAATGCTTTCTTGGTAAGATGATGGTCATGTGCTTTCCCTGTGAGCAGCACACTAGCCAGCATTTTATGTGTCTACCTCAAAGTACGCATTCATCATAAGTAGGGCCGGGAGCAGCAGGAGCATCTATCCGGTACTCATTTTTTCCCTCTTCCATACAGATAGCAGCCAGAACCCTGCGTTTATATTTCTTTGACACTGGCCATCTCCGTGCTTGTTAACTGCGTTGTCTGCATCTTGGTCTTCAGTGAGTTGAAAGAGAGCAGCAGGCAGAAAATCACCCTGCAGTCCGTGCAGGCGGATCATGTGCAAGCGGTGTGCTAGCGCTGCTGAGAGCTGCTGCAGCTGCTTTATTGCTGCAATAAATTTCAGCTGGCTTTCAGAGCAGTAGCTCGGATGTCTAATAAAAATGTCTTTCTGGAGGAAATGTTTTAAGGGAGCAAATCCTGGATCCGTTCTTAGCAGGAATGATTCCTGCTGTTGTGTCATTGCTTATTCTAGGGGGCCCAATCTCCATCCGCAGGGCTTGCTGCATTTAATTCCACGATGGTATTAATGAAAGTTAATTGCTTTATGAATTTCTTGAAAATTGCACTTCCATGCAAATTATGAAGAGATCAGCGTCAAACACCTTATTTGACATGACAGCTTTTTTATGTGGGTAAATCTTTTCCTACAAAAAGCGGTGTTCTAATAAATAGATGTGACTATTTCTTCTGACAGTTAATTTTCTGCATAGTTGCGGATTTAATACACATGGGTTATTCAGGTTAGGTGTGAATCATGACAGAATAATAGCTTTTGTGAATAAAAACGGAGCAAAAAATAGAGGCATTGTTGGCTTATGTTGAGGCAGGGCTAGCTGCTAGCTGAGTGTTTGCCTACCACTTGGTGACCAGGAAAGTATTCGGCTGAATTGCTTCCTATTGCACTGGTCTTTTTAAATGGGAAACCTATTGCTGTTTCCTGTGCGCCTGGGTGTATAGACAAAAAGTTGTAATTCTGCTGTGCAAGTATTCTGCAGTGAGACATTTTTATATGGGATGTGACTGTACGAAGATGCTGACAGTATAGACAAAGTCTGTAAGTCATCATGTTCTCAGCCAATAACCCAGAGAAGCTGTTACCATGCTATTCTTCTACATTCAAATGTGTTTGTATGTGTGTGTGTGCATATATATATATATATATATTGTTCATATATATATATATCTATATGAACAATAGGTTTGTGTTTTTTTTTTTTTCCAATCCAGGCTCTACCACTTTCTTAATTCAGCTTTTTTGGAGACCAGAATTTTCATGATTTCCACTTGATATAAAAAATATGGCTATGAAATGTTAAAACAGAATGAAGTGAAATAGTGCAAGGATGCTAAACCCTCAATATACTTGTCACCTGAATTTGTGCAAATGGCTTACTCTCTTATTGCTGCTTGTAAAATACAAAATTTTTCTATTTTCCTAAAGCGTGCCGATTCAGGGAAGCATTATACTTGATGGGACATCATTCAAATAATCTGACATAGTAAAAAGCAAATATTGCAGAAAACCTTTGATGATTAGAATTTGCTGGGAAAAATAATTGATTTATATTGTGTGTGTGTGTGAGTCTTACATCTCCATTCCATTGTATTTTTTATTTAAACCAGAATTTCTTAAATAAAAAAGGAGAGGATTGATACGTGTGTGTGAAATCTTAAGCACAAGAGAAGTACTGTTAGATTGAGCGTACCTGAAAATAAATTTTGTGTTAAAAGAGAAGGGAAGGTTGTATTTATAGCTGAGGTTTTGCTGACCTCTGCTGGAGAAGGAATTATTTGCAGTTTCAGAGAGTGCAGCAAAATGTTCTGCAGTGCATATGTGGAGAAAAACGAGGCCTGGAAACCCAGGTGATGGTGATATGCTGTTACTGTTGTGTAGTACAATTTTGTATTGTTTCATATGTTGCTATGCAGCAACTAATAGAAGTAATTCTGAAATACAAAGGGAATATTCATATTTGAGAAGCGTCAAACTTGCTAGTGAGCAGTCTGTACTTTTCTGAGCATCCGAGACGTTTTTCTTGTCCAGTAACTGTGAAAATTTTGCTCTGTTTTTCAGGATATTCACATTGTACAGCAAATCTTTGCCACTAGACTTGGCTTGTCGTGTCTGGGACGTGTTCTGCCGTGATGGAGAAGAGTTCTTATTTCGTACAGCCCTGGGAATATTAAAACTTTTTGAAGATATTTTGACCAAAATGGACTTCATTCATATAGCTCAGTTTTTAACAAAGCTACCAGAGGACTTACCTTCAGAAGAATTCTTTACATCTATTGCTGCCATTCAGATGCAAAGTAGAAACAAAAAGTGGGCTCAGGTAAAGAGGATGTTATCTTGGATTGTCAGATGAATGTATGGTACTCGTGAAGAACATTGTACACCTAGTGTTTGATTTTGTGGGTAGGTGGGACTGCGTAGCTTGCTCTGTGTGTTTAGTGTACATTCAGGTGAGTGGATTGCCTGAGGTTTTTGTTCCTGGTTCAGATGGTTCATTTTCTTTGAACATGAATTGTGTGTATGACCATCACATACCAAATAAATTCTCAGCCTACTGCTGCCTCAGATCTTTGCAGAGATGGGGAGATAGGAGTCTTATCCTGCCAAATACCCCCAGGTAGCCAGCTTTCAGCGGTTTTCTGCCAGTGCTTTTCAGTCTGTGATAACTAAAGGTTTAGTGGTGATCATCACAACAGGACAAAGACTTCAGAAATAATTGAGCCCTAGCAGTCTTCCTCAGTCTTCTTATCAGCTTCATTCTGACTACACTGGAATTTACCAGATTGTTTTTGCTTGCTGTGGCAAACTGAAGAAAAACTGCTGCTGAACTGTGGAGCAAATAGATGTCAAAGTGAGCTGGCTCACTGTAGGGTCGGTATTGGCTGACAACTTACCTACCTTGTTGACTCCTGCACCAACTGGCTTTCTTCACCAGCTAATTCCATTAATGAGTAATTTTCTATCAGGAAAGCCTCTTCACTCTCTAGCCATCATTTTCCAAGCCAGAAGTGGGTAGGAGCTGCGGGTTCGCTTGCATCCTGTGCATACTGGAACTTTGTTGGGGTACCACTATTGGAACTGGTAGTTCTAGTAGAGATCAGCACCAAGACAACGAGGGTATGGGATTCTTTTCTTTTACAGAGATGCTGACTGGGATGGCTTTTTACCTTTTTTCAGTCTTTGGAGTTCACCAGGATGAGTTTGGACTCAGAAGCCTAAACTTTGCTTTTCTAGGACAGGCTTTTGGTAGGGTGTGACTTGGCTGCAGAGGTGGACTCGGAGCAGTAGTGTGGGGCAGTGCTGGGGCCTGTGGCAACACACACCCACCCAGGATGTTAGAGAGGTGAGGCTGCAGTTGCTGTGCTCCCTGGTTAGGTAATTATTTTTGACTATGAGTATTTTGGTAGAAGTTAGATACTTTGCTGTAGTACCATTTTTTTTTTTCCTAGGGAAATGCCTTTACAAATTAGCAAAATGAACGTCAAGTGTGATGGATTCTCTGCTTTGGAGTTAAACTTCTAGGTGGACTGACTGACCAGGGGCACTAGTTTGCAGAGGATGCCAAATGCTCCTGAGCTTAAAAAAATGGTGTTGCCCCATCTCAGCATCATCTCGTTTGGTTACAGTAACTGTCCTGCATAAGCAAGCAGGGTAACTTGAGCTGCTACTTCTTTGTTAGGAGTGTATTTGAGTGTGTAGAGCTAGGAAGTCAAATTCAGACTCCGGTCTCAGCAGTAGGTATACTTGAACCTCAGAAAAGCACTGAACCATGCACTTTGCTGTACTCTGGTAATTCTGGTGTTGGTATCCTGCGTGTCACGTTCTGGGATGAAGCTGTCCAGAGATTACATTTGTAGGACCTCATTTAAAATGTTTCAGGCTGCTTATTAATCCTGCTTCCCTTGTCAGACAGGCTGGTGGGGTTTTCCATCTCACTCCATTTTCTCTTGGTCATTCTAACAGCATGATCAGGAAACTAAAGACTGAAGGAGACTGGCTGAATGATGACCAGGCCATGTCTGGTAACAAGGAGTGTGGGTGTCAACAGGAAGCCTGCAAGTTCTGGTTTTCTTCTGGAGTTACAACAAGGATCTCCAGGTTCTTGTGCCGGTACAGCCTTAGTCTGAACTGTGAGCGGCAGTCATACTCATGGCTTTGGCATCAGGTGTGGAGAAACAGCTTAGGCTCTTGGCTTAGTGTTTCTGGAATTTGTGCTTTGATTTTAGCTCCATTAAGTTTTCCAAATAACTAAGGAATCCGAGCTTTCTGTCAGCTGGCTTAAGGTCTATGTAAAATGCTTTTCTGGGTCAGTATTTTGGTTTCACTCTCAGACTCCTTAAAAAGTTTTTTTTTCCATGAAGAACATTGTTCCTATGGCACTTCAAAGTCTCAGTAAGCTCATTTGATGGAATAGCTGTTGATTTATTCAGAATATCTTTGAGCAGGACCTTGCTGAAATCTCTCCAATTCTGGAAGCTGTCAAACAGCCCACCAGCAGCAGCTCTGTTCATGCCTCTGTTGAACACCTGTTGCAACAGCTCGGATGCTTTTGCTTTGAAATGCAGGCAGTGTTATGGAATTGCTCTGAGTGATTTACACCTACTTGCTGTTAATTCTGACGATGCAGAAGTTTGTTTGAAGTTGGTCAGAGTTGCTCACCTGTAGCTGCAGTTCTTTGAGAGGAAATGTCCCGAAGTACATCGGTTCCCGGGTAGATCCTGGGGCTGCTGCTGTGCTGCGGGGGGAGTAACCAGAGGGCAGGGAGCTCATGCTGCTTGAGCAGCACGAGGAACTGGTGGCAGTGTGCTGTCTGCAAGTCATGAGGGCTAACAAAATTGCACATCGGCTAATAGGAAATAAAAGTTTTCGATCTGAATGCAAATGGTGATTTTTTGCTTCAGAAAATCACAGAAGCAGATGTGGGGACAGCAACGTGCTCTAGGCGAGCACCAGTCAGTGCTATGGGAATTCCAAACAGGCTGCCCAGTTGCTGTGGTTTCAGACAGTTCATTTATCCTGAGAATTATAAATTCCCCTCAGGCAGCTTCTTTTGGTAGTGGTACACTTATGTAGTCTGGGTAAAAATCCCACATCCAGGCTTCAAGAGTGAGTGTGTGTGTGTTGGGGAAAGATTGAACCATCATTAAATCCATTTGTATTTCCCATGGCACAAGGATGGTCTTCGGCAGAGAGGTTCTCAGTTTTGAGAACCTAACTAGATTCAACAGCTAAAATAGTATTGCTCAGGGGTAATGAAATCAGAAAGTCTTTGGACAGGGATTTATTTGTAAACCTAATACATATTTTCTCTCTCATTCCATGAAATATCTAGATACTGGCTGCTCTGCAGAAGGATAACCGGGAAATGGAAAAAGGAAGCCCTTCCCTCAAACGTTAACTCCGGCTGCCTCCAGGAACTCAGAGGAAAAGATGGAAAGTGGCAAAAGTATTGGATAGTGTTTTGACACGTGTGAGCCTGCAAATCAAAGTGTTACTTCAGTTCTTTTTCAGTAGTAGGATAGCCTTAAAGGGGAGAGAGGAAGAGAGAAGGAAAAAAAAAAAGGAGGTGGGGGGTTAAAACCTTTGTAAGTGAAACCTAGGCTTAGCCTTAAACTTTTAGCAGAGTGAGCGTTTGCAGTGGACAGCGATACACATCAGGTGTCTGATGAGGGCAGTAAAACTAAGCACCATTAAGGTTTCTTTCCTTTTTTTCACTGATGTTTTAAAATACCGGGCATTCAGCACTGTCGGTTGCTTTGAAAGCTATTCCCTAGTTTTGTTGTTAGGCAGGATGTGTTTCCCATACCCCTCACAGGAGCTGGATCTGGGTTTTAAATAACTGGTGCTGGAATTTATACTTAAACGATGTAAGGACCATTTCTTCAGAAATGCTTCTGGTTTTATAGGCTGTAGGTCCCATTTACCAAAGAGATCATGTAGACATAGAACTACATTCCATTCTTTAAGGAAAAACGTTAAGTTAACTTGGAAAAGAAGTCATGCTAGCAGTGTAAAACCAATTATTCTTCAAGATGCCTTGGAAATCCGTGTTCCAATCTGGATGCACGTGGAAAATGTTCCATTTTTCCGGCTAGATCCCAGACTCACCAGGTGTGGGTCTAGCACGGAGCTGGCATTATTTCCCAATTGTACTGTCTTGCCTCTGCTCAAACACGGGGTCACATACTAGTAACTGTATGCTTCCATGTCTCCCTCCTCTGGGCAGTGCTGCTCCAGGGTGTTCCTGCCTACCAGCTACTTATTGCTGTGCCATCTGGCCAACTGATAAAACCATGGGCTGGGCAGATGAGAGGTGGTTAAAAGGAATTTTTATGGGTACTTGAAACCCAGCTCTGCTTGCTGGCAAAACCAAGGAGGAAGGGCACAGGGGAGGAGTTCCATAAGCCAACACTGCTGCTGAAAAGAAAAGCTTACAGGGGATCTCTTGAGGTTGCTGCTGCCGTAGTGGAAAAGCGTAAATGGAGCTGAACTTGATGTGGTAATGAGTAGAAGTTTATTGGGGAACGTGTCAGACAAATACTGTGGGAACAGGTACAGGCTGTCATTTCCTAGCATTGAAGCCAGCCTCAAGTAGAGGTGAGCACGTTATACAGAGCCAACAGCAGATGCTCAGTTGTTACTCCGCTCTGGTTCCCTCTGCATTCAGATGAATGTTGAACTGTAAATCATGAGTGCCTCTGATTTACAAGAATGTTTATAGTGTAAAATCTGTTTTATAAATAATGGCTACCATTGAAAGGGAAACTAACCGAAGCAATATTTGTGTTAACTGTCACCGGGAATTACTAGCTCCTCCAGCTACGTGGCCATAGGCTTCCCAGTGCTTTTCAGTCTGTTTTATGCTGAGCATTTTGGCATTGTCTGAATAAAAACATGAGAATAATAGTTGCACACTGCTCAAATCAACCTAGACAGTAAGGGATGTAATCAAAAGACTCTCCTTTAGTACAACATTCTTTCTGTGAGTGGTACTTTGACTGTAACGTTAAAAAAGAATGAAAGCAAGGTTTCTTGGTTAACTGTTTGAAGACTCCTATCACTTTGGAATACATGTAATACAAGTGCAGCTTGCAAGTCTGTTACCTCATTGGCCTTTTTTCCTGTCCACTTCGTGTACCTGGTGTAATAGACATGTGTATTTTTTGTTGGCCATCTGAATTTCTCCAAAAGGCTTCTTCTGGGCCATCGCTTACTGAAAACAGACATCAGGATGTTGATATGAAAGCCCGTTAATTCTCCCAGGATTTGTGTAGGATCCTTTAATGAGCGGTACTTGTATGGTACATTGCTTTGATGTGCAATAGAAAGCTGGAAGGTCAGTAAGTGGTTTTTAATGCTACTTTTACTACAACAAATACACCTTTTCACAAAGGGTATGAGAGGCCTAACATCCCCAACATTTGCACTATGCTTTTAAATGATTTATTAAACACAGAGACAACTCTTTACGCAGCATACGTTTTTTAGGTGGTACTGTAACTGGCTTTGTGATTTAAGTCCTCCCTGTAACTAGGTGTGTATTTCTGTTTAAACCAAGTCTCAAAGGATGGCTCGCTTGTCTGATTAGAATATATTCTGGAGCCAGTAGGTCTGTTTTAGCCATCTGCAGCCTGTTCTCGTTTTTTTCTTCTCAGTAACATGTTGAACGTAAGAGTGGAAATGGGCATAGTTGTGGGAAAAGGCCTGCTGCAACACCTGTGCACTGTTTGTTACTTGCAAACGTAATTATTTTGTTCAGTGATTTGATCTTTCTGTTTTAGAAGATGTATATATTTTCTAAATGATTTCTTTGTGTATATAAGGTATGTTCTTTAATGAAGAAAAGCAATGCAATAAGGAGCTTTGCACAGTTTGTTTTCAAACAAAATGCATTTGAAAAAAACAAAATCACCTGCCTGAAGATGCAATTGTTTCAACTTGTCAGTACCTTGATTTGAAAATAATGCTTGAATTTTGATAAAAACAGAGTTGAGTTGTAATGGCTTAGAATTACTTGCCACTGAGCTTTTTAATTTCTTGCAGCATACCAAATCTCTTGATTATTAAGGAGGGTTTCTGTAATAAATTCAGGGATTGCATAAAGATTTTGACAACTTAATTTTATTGTTTGGATGCCTGAGGGCATCTGTAACGCGATGCATGAGATTTTCTCCCATTGAACAGGTGTCCCCATCAAAGCAAACTGTTTTATGTTCTTCATGGGTTTAAGGAGAAATAAAAATGCTGCAATACATCAGAAGGCTGCAACTGTCACTGCACGTGCAGCAGGTGAGAGAAAACAAACAGAAAACTTCAACCAGGTTAGGAATTCTGTACAACCTGCACTTTATTGTAAAGCCGTTCCACAACTCCAATCCGCAATCAATCCATTAACGTATTTCGTTCAGTACAGACTTTTATTTGGAGAGGTACCTTATAACAGCTTCTTTTGAATGTTTCAAAAACTAGAGTGACATGTAGAGAACTGTTGATACATCCCCTGTACATCATGTTCAAATTGTTTTTATGTAGTTACATGTTTTGTTTAGATACGTGTATCAAACTGGAACTTTTTCAACTGTAAATATATGGTTTTATTAAA